AGCAGAAGGAAGTATTACTGACACCCTGGAACAAAGAGTCCTGCCCCGCAGATACAATTGAGTCTGTCCTCTGCCTCCTGGAGAGAGGGGTCCTTCTGCCCTCCTTCTCTCCTTCCCTCCCCTCCCTGGTGAGGTCCCTGCAGGACTCCAGCTGGGCCAGAGCCTGCCTCCCTCACTGGCCCTTAGCTCTGGGGCCCAGTGTGTAAGACTCCAAGACTTCTCCTAGATCACCAAGACTTCGCCTTTGGGCTGAAGATGGGGCAGAGCCGGCGCCTGACAGCAGAGGCAGGGGAAGGGACCCTGGGGCAGAGGCCTGCTGCCTCTCTGCTCTAGACTTCACTCCCCAGCCTCAGCCCACTGTTTGGCCTGCACCCTCCGCGTTGTGGGCCTGGATCCGGGAGCCAGGGGTCAGAGACGGGAGGAAGCTCTCCCTCCCTTCAACTTGAGCCTTGTCAGTCAGGCGCAGCTCATCTGCTTCTGGGGAGGCTTTGATCCTTGATCCTTTTCCCTCCTTGGCCAACCCCTGGAGCCTGTTTGACCAGAGTTAAGTGCCCCCTCCCCTGGGCCTGCTGCAGATGCTGGCTTCCCCTCCTGTGCTCCAGATTAGGACGTGAGGCCTGACACCTGGGGAAACACTGAGGCTGGGGAACCCCGCTGCCCTAGCTCTGTATATCTGGGAGGAGGAAGTGTGTTCACCTTTGCCTCAGGGATCCCAGACAATGAATTGGGATGGCAAGGGGTTTGGTCAGGAGATCTGTCCGAATCACAGGCGGCCTTAGGACAGGCGGTCATCTGGGCCCCCTTTCTCTCAGTGTAATACAGGCTGCATAGCATCCCCCTCCTCCTGAGACGGGCCAGGGCGTGTGCTGCAGAGACACAGAGCCTGGGAGTACGGGAGCCCTGATGGTAATATAGCGGGACCTTGCAGAGACATCCTGGCATCTTTTTCACTAAAATGACCTTGAATACCAAGTGCTTTATGTGCATCACTGAATTCCCACAACAATCCTGTAAAATAGGGAAATTGAGGAACAGAGAGTTTCCGTAATCTGCCTGAATTCTCATAACCAGTCAAATAGCAGGGATGGGACTATGGGATTAAAGTCAGTTCCAATTTATCTCCCTTTCCTCAGTGAGTCAATACACCCAGCTTCTGAGCGAGGCGGTGAGCAGGAGCAGAGACAGGAGGCATAGGGTGGGGGGCCGGGGCTGTCTGAGGCAGCAGGCCTTTTGGGCTTTTCAGCTGTCTTGCCTGCCCTTTTTTTTTTTTTTTTTTTTGCAGGTTTGGGGATAGGTGAATGAAGCTGGAACTAATGAATCCTAGAACTGGGGCAGGAAGGGGCCCAAGGTGGAGCATCTTAGTGAGATGGGTCTCAGTTCATTTTTTCTTGCTCACATTCTGTGCGAGTAACTACCAAGCAGATAGTCTGTGAGTTCCCTGAGGGGAGGCAGGCTTGGAGGAAGGGAGTGAGTACAGGTGCAGAAGAGGGGGAGAGAGCCTGTACGTAGGAGAGGACAGGGTGACTGCAGGAGTGGTGGCCTGGGGGTGGGAGGCTGCTGACACTCGAACAGGGCCGCAAGGCTCAGCGCCTTCCGCAGGGAGCCTGGATGTTTGACCCCACACATCGGGGACACTGGCGAGCCACTCTCACCTAGTCCCTTTGCCTGTCCTCATAGTCCAAACCAGCATCCTCTGTTCCAACAAACCTGCTTCTAGATAGTTCTTGTTATTTGCTTTATCAAACACTCACCAAGCATCTTTAGGCTTCAGGCGATGAGCTGGGCCCTGGAGATGAACTGAACCCCGCACCAGCCCCCCGCTTCTTGCCCATCCTGGGAGGGAGCACTGACAAGTGTGGAAGGGAGTTGGCACAGAGGTTAACAGGCTGTAGTAAAGCACAGGGGAGTGCACAGGAGAAGCCGCCGGAGGCAAGGACATCTGGGTTGCATTCTGAGTAAGATGCAATTGGGCCAAGTGGAAGGAAGACAGGTGTTCCAGGCAGTCAGACAGACCAGTTCTGAAGTTCAGCAGGGCCACCAGGCCTTTCACAGTGAGCACAGGTACTGAAGTTTGAACCCTGGTCATACCAGTTAATGTCTCTGACTCAGTGTTCCCCTCAATAAAATGGGAATTAAGCACAGCCCGCACCTCAGAGGGTTGTCATGAGGATGAAGCAAGTTACTGCAAGTCAGCCCTTCAACGCGCCCAGCACATAGTCCCTGCTCTTTCTGCCCCAGCTGTCAGTGGCAGCACAGGCTTGTGAGGGTGGGAGTGTGTGCACACATGCATGTGTGGTTAAGAATGAGGCCTGAAAGCTAAGCAGGCTTGATCCTGAGGGCCCTTCTCAGCTAAACTGAGGACTGTAACAGGAAGAAAATGGGGAGCCACTGAAGGGTTATTCCCTCCTCCTCACCTCGAAGGGCTCTGCAACGTACCCTTTCCTCTCCCTGCCCCATCTCTTTCCTCACTTCTTTTCAGCTGCTCAAGCAACACTCACTCTTCTTTGCTCAGAATTTGAACCACCACACAGTTCTATGCATTGGTCTATGCAAGGTAGGGTGACAGGACCAGATATTTGGGATCCTAATCTCAAAACTATATTCAGTTTCATTCCTAACCTGTCTCATTTACTTTCAGCAGCATGAGGGAGAGAAGTAGGATGGTCTACATCCAAGTCCATGTCCAGCTTGACTTGGATTGCTGCAGAGAGGTCAGTCACTTTTCAAAAGTCAACCACTTTTTCCTGCATACATGACCTAATAGTCTTGAACAGAGTTCAATTTGATAGATTGCTTACAGTTTCTCAGGGCTATGGTCTTTGATCCTCATTGGCACAGCCCAAACTCCTTTGCAAAATAATGCGGATGGCCATTGCTAGAAGAGTAAAATGTACCCCCTCAGGCATCGGGGAAGACCCTTCATAATCCATCTCGGTTAGCCTCCAGCCTCACTCCTCAATTCCAACTCTGCTCAACTCACAGGACCCTTTAAGAGAGGTCAGATTTAATACCCGGCTGTGATTCTACAAATGTGGGACCTTTAGATGATCACCTTGTGTATCTGCCAGTGGTAAAATGGGATTATTTAGTCTGGCACTGTTTCTCTTAGGGTGAGTTATAGTGTATTCAATACCCCACCAATATCCCCTCCAAACCCCTTTGGGTTCTTATCCTCTCCTGGGAAATACTATTTCCCTAGTACTGATCTGCCAGGTACTTAGAGAGTCACCACCCAGAAAGCCACCTTAGAGATGTGATTCACATACTGTAAAATTCACCCATTTAGTGACTGCAATTCAGTGGTTCTTATATTCAACTTGTACATCGATCACCATTAATCCCAGAACATTTTCATCAGTCTGCCAAGAAAACGCGACAAATTAGCAGTCATCATCCGCTCACCTGGGCAACCACCGATCTGAGCTCTGCCTCTGTGGATTTACCTGTTCTGGACATTTCATGTAAAAAGAATCATACGAAGTGTGGCCTATGGAGTCTGGCTTTGTCATGCCATCTTAACGAATCTTCTGAACAATCCAGCGGTGGCACTTCCCCCAACTAACCTGTTCCTGGCTTCAGGTGTCCTTTACCAAGCGGCAGCCCCTGACTGGAGGAAGCCTGCCTCAAGCCTGCTCCTCACCGTGCGGGCACCTCCTAAAAGGAGCAACAGGCCTGTGGCTGGGGCCCGCCAGCGTGGGCTCCGCTAGTTCCCAGGCATGACCCCCCGGCTCGCTGTATCCATACCACACCAACACTCTGCGACCATGACTTAAAATTATTATTTTTTATTTAACTTTAATTTCTGAGGTAAAATACTTTTCTTTCAACTTCCGTAACAAAATACAGAGCTATCAGATACCCCTGGAAAAAATATGTATATTATACATATATTTCTATAACATTACATCATATATATATATAATATATATGCAAAAATTTGAAGACTTTATAGAAAGTGGAACATCTAAAAGGCACTGCACAATGGAGTTCAGATTATTTACACTTTATGTACATACACACAATTGATTCTGCATAAGTGGGTAACTAGGGAAGTCATCTTTCCCATTTGAGTGTCTCACAAATCCCTGCATCACAACTGTAACTCAAAGAATGCCTACATAATTCAAAACAGATTGACTGGTAACTTCCCCTTGGCGGCCCCCTCCCCGCCCCAGTGGAACAGTTCTTGAAAGACTGGATCGTGTTTTTTCCTTTAAACAAAATTAAAATGTTCCACTACCATTTACAAAACAAAAAGCACAAACATAATTATGGAATAAATAAAAAAACAAGGGACAACAGCCAACTGACTTGACCCGCTTGGTGAGAAGTGATATACTTAATTATTATTATTATTTTTTAATGCTTCTGAAAGTTTCTTGGCCCGTAGAGGACTAGGGTGCAGTAATTCCCTGCATTACTTATCAGGTTGGGTTCAACAGCGCAGCTTGAAAACTGGGAGTAAAGGGACTTGGTGAATTTTTATGTTTCACTCTTAATCATTTTTAAAACAAAAAAAAGCTAATCAAGGCTAGATGCCCTTAAGAGATCTTGACTATTTTTTTTCTATAGTCAAAAAAGCAAACTGTTTGTGTGAACAAGTTTTTGATTCCAAGATTTGTATTTGCAAAGTTTTAAATATTTGGCACAGCAAAATTTGGGGAAAAAAAATGGGGGAGAAATAATAGGTCTGGTTGTGTCCCCCCTTTTCCGTCAGCTGTCAGACAGTGATGGGATGCTTACGGAAGAGAAAAGAAAGGCCTGGCTTTGGGCCAGGCTGGTGACGGGTGCTGCCAGGAGTGGACTGGGGGTGGGGGGGAAAGCTATACTCCATCCTTTTTGCCCAAGAAATATCAACGACTTCCAGGCTCCCCAGTCGGGTCCACTTCCTGAGCAAGCCCAAGTTCGGCTCTGTTTGAGGACCCTCCCCCAACCCAACCCCAGGGGGCAGTGCAAATGAATCAACAACTCACCGGTGGAAGAGCAGGCAGAGGAAACAGTTAAACACCAACAATTTCTTAAAGCCAAAAAACATTTTCGTGGAGTTGAACATTTTTTAGTATTTTTTTTCAAGTGTAAAAGCAGTGACATTTTGTTCCAACAGAAGCAGCATCTAGGAATGAATTCTGGCACTTGGGTTCTAGGGGATTACAGGTATGCATCATGAATTTTTCTCCTTATTTTAAAGGCCTCGAGTTTCTATTCCTGAGTTCATACCGACACCCACTGGCCCTCCCCTCTACTGGACAGAGAGGGTGGCCAGCCAGCCTCCCTGGTTAGATAGGACAATGCCAAGCAGAGACCTCGCCTCCACTTGCCCGGGCTTGCTTTCTAATTCAAGGTAAATTGAGGTGCAGAGAATCTGACAAAAACACAACCCAACTAAAGGCAGCTTGAACAGGGAGTCCTTTGCAGCCCGATCAAAGCCTGAGTTGCTAGGGACCATTCTCCCAACCCCTTTCCCAGGGAGAGACAAGTCACTCACGGAATATGAATCAAACAAAGGGGACGACGCTTGCCAAAAAACAGCATGATGGGCTCCAGTCCTCCTCAGCCACCTAGTGGCTCACTCACCTGCTCTAGGCCTTCCTGAGCCCCTCTCTCATGCATGCACTCCAGCTTAAAGACTCCCCCGCTCCCATTAAAGGACAGCCCTCCAACGGGACTCACGCAGGCTACAGTGGAGTGAGGAGTTTAACTCCTAGCAGCATCCCTGTGCCCACTCCTTGCCCCTCTCAGAGAGGGAGTTGCTTCTCCCCTCCCTGCTGCCCAGCAGATCTGAGCCATGGTCAATTAGTTCCATATGCTACACAGTTACATGTGACAAGCAGACAGCTGGCTGTGGATTCTGTCGCTAGTCCAGGCCCCTTCTGCTTCAAATAAGATCAGTACTTTCCCATTCCTTTACGTTGATGGAAAGAAACTTCCCACGAAGAAACAACTCCTGTCTGTAAACTGGAGTCTCAGGTAAGACAGCCAATCGATGGTGAGAACTGTCACAACCCAGGCAACTGGGCATGGCAAGGACGCAAGGCCCCGGCAGGACAGACCCCCCACCCCTTCATTCACACGAGGCCCTCTGGCCCCTGGATGCCTTCTGCATCTCCTGTCCACCTGGTTCCTTCAGTCTCAGTGGATGTCCACATGTACTTCCCCAGCTACCTTCAGTGTCTCCAGGTATCATTTGCCCTCATTTCCCACAATCCTGCCTTTTTGCTACCCATCCCGATAGTATCAAGAGGGGACAACTAAATACCAGCTCAAAATTTAACAATGTTTCGACATATCTGGGTTATCTGAAAAGTTGTCCATGCCCTTTTACAGGTTTATGTTGACAGACCCGTATCATGTTAAAGTATGTTCATTGTTAAGGCTTGACTTCAGAAAATGATAAGGGAACCAGACACAACAGAAAGACATCTCCGACGCTGTCACGCCTCTTAGTGAACTTGTTCACAGTCACACTTTGGTTTGGCTCTCCAAACCCTCAATGGAAAAGGAAAAATGAAGATCATTTTGTGTTTGTTCTGTTTTTAAAGGCATTGGGTTACATCCTCCCGCCCTCTTCTTCCTTCCCTGAACAAGAGTTTACAACTCCTCATGGCTTCTTAATAGGTGAAGTAGGTAAAAAGTCCAAGAAATTCACAGCAGGGCTTCCGGTCCCAACCGCGGTGCCCGGGCCTGCCTCCCTGGCCAACTCTAACTGGCAGTACTCTTCATGTTTCCTGAAAATATTTTTTTAAAAAGGCAAAGAAAAAATGCCAAACAACAACAAAGGAAAAAAGAAAAAGAGCAACATCTGACCATCTCCCCACCCCAGTAAGACTGAGATTATTTTATTCCTCCCCTGAAATAATTATAAAGAAGCATTTCAGGCAAAATATGTACTATTAATGGTCTCTCACTGCTCAACCTCCCCACCACGCTCTTTCCCTTTTACTTGCATCTCTCTCAGAGCAAAATAAATTCGCTAATGGCTTTCCATACATAAATACAATAGAAAAGAAAGAAGTCTGGAACCTGAACTATCATGGGACCAAACAGGATCTTGGCCCTTCGGGAGCTTGTCACAAAGCATAAGCCTCCATGGGAAACAGAGGCTCTTTCTCCCTTCAGTTCAACACCCTTCCTGTGTCCTACTCATCAGGAGAGTGTGTTCACATCCCACTTAATTTACAACAGAAGGTACCCCATCCCATCCCAAAAACATAAAAACAGACGTCTATGTCCCAGATGATCAAAGAGTCTAGTTCCCTTCCCCCCTCCCTCCCACCCCGCCACCCTGAAATCTTGCTACATAAATACACGTATGCATTGATTATAGTACGAACAGCTCCCCAGCCACTTGCAGTTCTATGCGTCGGCAGCTGCCGTTGCGAAGCCCCGGGGTCCCGGCCCGTCCCAGAGGGACTTGCTGTTCTTGCTCAGCTCCCGGGCTTCAGGGTCGTCATTCCAGCGCCGCTTCAACCGAAGCTTGGGTGGCATCAGGGCGTCCTCCTTCTTCTCAGGCGCACTGGGCTCTTTCCCAGGCCTGTCCTCACTGTCTTCAGTTACCTCCAGGGGCTCTTCACTTGGGGCGCTAACGGGCACAGTGGCCCAGGCAGGCGGGGCAGCTGGGCGGGCAAAGACGGTGCCTTTTTCCTCTGTGACGGTCCTGCTGGGCATGGCGCCCTCTTCTTTCGAGCGCTCCTCCTTCTCCTGAGCCGACAGCCTCAGACTGTCAGGACCCTTCTCAGAGGCTGGCTCCAGCTTGATTCTTGTGGGGACAGGAGCCACGGTGGGGGCAGCGACAGGGGCTGGCTCCTCATTGCTCTCTGCCCTCTCTCGGTTCTTGCGCCCGACTGGCGGGGGCTGCAGCTTGATAGAAAACTGGGTTGACTCCTCAGGATGCATTTGGCACTGCAGTGGGGGAACCAAGAGCCCTGGGTAACGGGGAAATGTCCGCGGGCTCAGATGGTAGTTGAACACAGAACAGGCTTGAGAATGAAGATAGTGTTTCATTTCCTCAGGGTTGAAGGAGAAGCAACTGCTGCTGGTGAAGGGGCTCAGGCCTGGCGATGGGCTGTAGGAGAAGATGGTGGGAGTCAGGGAGAGGGCTGGTGAAATGGGGACGTTAAGGACACCCCCTCGGCCAGGGACTGGAGAAACAGCGAAGGGACTGTGGGGGTCAGGGTACATCCCTGGCCTAGTGAACAGAGGAAGCATTATGTCAGGCTTGCGTTTCTGATGGCCAATCCCTCCTCCACTGACGACATTCCGGGAGGACATGAGATCCACACCCCGGCGCCAGTCGGCAGCTGAGCCATCCTCCAGCTCCGACAGCTCCGCCTTTCTGTCAGAGCCATCAGTTGAGTCCTGGCCAGAAGCGGGTAGGGAGACAGCAGAGAACCGCCCTGGCTGCACGTCACTAGTCGGGGAACGGGTGTCCAGAGGTGGGAAGTGGAACTGGGAGGAGGCTGTCGGTACCGGCGGCGCGCTCTGGGGAACCACACCTGCGATGGCAGAAGAGACAGAGGCCACTTTAGAGTCTGCTAGCTCAGGAGCAGTACTTCCACTCAACGCTGAAGTTCAAGATGTTTAGTAACAACAAGAAAGAAACATTCCAGCTGGACTGAACCCCTCAGCTCTGTCTTCCCAGTAACTACTGCTCAGCTTATCCACCCCATTTAGATGTCATCTTTCTCTAGCCTCTCACTCACTTTATCTTCACAGTACTCTTTATTATCTAAATGATCATTTATTGATTTGGATTCTAAAACATAAATTCCAGGAAGGCAGGCAAACCAACCAATGCAGAGGTGACTTGTGTGTAAAGCCAAGCACTGCAAGCCTGGAGACCCTGTGCCTAACATACGGACACCTGCAAGACCACACTGTAAAACAAAAATAGATTAAAAAAAAAGATCATATATTTAAGGGAAGTTCTTTTTTATGGTGCATCTTTTCTCATTTCTGATAGAAAATCATTACTTTACAGAAATTCAGTCATTTTTCAATCTCTCCAAATCTGTTTTACTCTTAACAAAATATGTATAATGATCTCCGTTCTGGAACATCCTTTCAGTGCTTTTCAAGCACTGAGGAGACTGGAGAAAACCCAGGACCCACTGCTCCCTCTCCCACGCTTCTTGCTAAAATTGAAGCTCCAAGTGGAAACCAACACAGTGCAGATCAAGTCAACTTCAGAGGCTTTCAAGTTCTCACTCCCCCAAAGGTTCTTCTGATGTAATGGGGCATAAAGAAGTATGCCACCTGAGGCCTCAGGGACCCTTCGGGTTCCTGGGATGATTCAGTGGCTTCTATCACTGATGACTGAGGCAGAGATAGGGGAGCAGGAAAAGAAGGAGAAAAATAACTAACACTCAAGTATGTCAAAGTATGGTGATCTAGGAGAATAAACAGAAAAGGTACAAAGATACGATGTGGTTAGGAATCGCCCCAGTCAACTGCCTTCCTCTATTCTTGGTATAATGGGGGCATCCTCAAATAGGATGCTAGAGTTGGCTTGTCTGTGCAAGACTGGCTTTCTAGGCACACAGACTGACTAATCCTGTGCCAGAGTAGCATTTCCCAACCTATGTTCCATAGAACACCCTTCTGCAGGACCTTCTTCACCCTAAAGTCACTGATTTAATCTTACAGTTGGGGAAACAGATGGATGACCTTGTACATAATTTAAGCAGAGTCAAAAGGGTCCCAGGCCAGAAGTACCTGTTCTCTCTGCTATTACAGGGACTAAATTTCTACTCCTTTTGATTCTTTTGTATCTTGATTTTGTATTAAGAGCACATCTATTTAAAAGCAAAAAAACCACTTCTAACTTGTTTGGAAGGGCCGAATTAAGTATAATACAGTGGCAGTGGAGTGGGGGGACCGGGAAGAGAAGGTCGTGTCTCCTTAACAATTTGGTTTATTTACTTATTCATTTACTTGAACTAGGGAATATCTCAGTCTTTTTCACAGGCTTGGGTATGCTGTCCATCTGCAAGGAAACAGAATACACAGCATTTTCCTCAAGTATCTAGAAGAGAGCAAAAGAAGGCAAAACCTAAGAGCAATGTTGGAAGGAGCATTCTGGACCCCTCACCTCTGATCAACCACAGGAGCACTGCTTTTATCGTGTTATATGCTGAGATAGCAAAACTAGGATTTTGTTTGAAATCCTCATGTTACGTACTAGAAGTCACTATTTATAAAGTCCTTAGGACAGCATTAGCACAGAGCAAACTGCACGTATTTGCTGAAATAAATAACTTTTTTATTAGATAATAATCATGGCTTAAAGACCAAATCTTTAAAAGACACAAATCATTTGCATATTGACCATATATTAGACAATGATTTTAGAGCTTTGTTTCATTTCCTGAATGTGGCAATGCCACTGTGGTTACGGAGGAGAATGTCCCTGGGAGATACATGCTGGAGTATAGAGGGGTGGAGTGTCCTATCTGTAACTTAATCTCAGAAGACTTAAAAAGCATATACAGATGTAAAGCAAATGTGGCAACAATGTTCATGACCAGTGACTTCAGAAAGAAATATACGGATGTTCACTGTTCTATTTTTTCATTTTCTGTAGGTTGGAAGTTGTCCAAAATAAAAGTGTAAAAAATGGGTGGGGAGGCATACAGTGACAGGTTTCAAGTTCATCCTTAACTGGTCTGTACTGCTCCTACCCTGACAGGCAACCATTTTTACTAATGTCTACTGTAACTTTCCAATGTTTTGTGTGCAAGTACAGTAAATATTTAAAAGTATATTTAAGAACATATTTTATAAACGATTTTAATGATAAAAATGAGATACTGTATGTAGAACTACTTTCATTACCCAAACGCTAGGTACTCTGCTCTAAACTGTTAACAGTGAGTAGGGTGGTGGGGAAGGGAAAAAAGAACATTTACTTTAATTTTTTATTTTGTGAACTTCTGTATTATTTGGATATGCTACAATCAACATGTATTGCTTCTGTTTTTAAAAAAACACAGATCAGAATAGCCCAACTGTATCAGCCTGCACCACCGAGACATGAAGTCTCTGGACTCCAGGACCTAAACCCACACAGCTCTGCTTCTTATGGTGCTTATTGTAGCACTATAATATATTCTGAAATGTATTAAACCTCATGTATTTTACCTCTTCTGCTAAATTTTAAGTTCCTTGAAGGAAGAACTCTCCCATCATTTTTTTTTTTTTTGTATTAAACCTCATATATCTTATCTCTTCTGCTAAATTGTATGTTCCTTGAAGGGAAGAACTCTCCCATTTTTTTTTGGTGGGGGTTTTTAGGGCCTAACACAATGCCTGTTGAATAAATGAATGAATGAATCCTAATCCCGGGGAGGAATGTATGATGGATTCCGTAAAAGGTGGATTTTAGCAGCTCAACTTCTCAGGAATTGTTTCCTGAGAAACTGTTCAACAGGCTAACTGTATTCAACTCACCTTATCAATCTTTGCCTTTGCTGCCATCCTTGACTTCACCATTTGTACAATGTGCATATAGAGACCTATTCGTCACTGCGCTGGGAGAATTGCAGGAGGTGACTCGTAGAAAGCACTAAGCAAAAGCACCTCCACTAAGCAGATGTTCAGAAGATGTCACATTACCTTTGTCATCACGACAGGTAACCTGAAACAACACTTGGCCCATCTGGGTAAAAGTCCTTTATGAACTGATGTCAGCTCTCTGGTGCTGTCTGCATCTGGGACCAAGCAGCAGGCCTGAAAGAAACGCTGCTTTGCTCCCAGTGACTTTCTGATCAGGGTCTTGAGCTTAGTTACGAATCAATTGCCTTCGGGCAGAGTAGGTTGTGTTAGATAACTACAGTTAGGTTTCCAGACCAGTTTTCACAGAGGGTCCAGATTTCCTTGCCCTGGAAAAAAATACTACTCCCAAGGGTTGATGGGTGCCCCATTCCAGGCTGTCCGAGTGGCTGGACTTGTATGTTTTCATTAGACAAAAATGGGTCAAAGACAGGAGAATGAGACCAACGAGGCCTCTTTTGTGGGCAGTAGTATGGAAGAGTATGGAACACTAATACATTCTTTGAACCTGCTGGTGTGCCCATCTAGAGTCCCAATTCCTCTAGGTACCCAGGGAGGGGGCAGGAGTGAAAAGTAGAGGAAATGAGATTCCAGTGGCTAGAACAGGTTTGATTTCCTTACACCTCTCCCTCAGGCACAAGGAAAGAAAACAGGTTGTAATTAGAGAGCTGCATTCCAATACCACTTTTTTTTTTAAATGTATGCCCCAGGGACAGGAGGGAGTGGCTACAGAAGGAGAGATGGAACTGTAATGATAGCAGCATCAAGCTAAAACTGCCCTAACTTGTTGTGTGTAGTAATTATATATCTACAATGGATCTCAGCACCACATTCTCCCAGCCACACCCCCGCTCTAATTTTTCAGGTTTCTTCCAACTTTTCTCTGAGAAGCTGTAATACTGCAGAATCACCATCAGATTTCTTTGCCTTAACATACAATGCCACAAAGACAGAGTATTGGTGGACAGAGTAGTTAAAAATACAATATATTTTATTGGGCAAAGGTGTGATTTGGCTCTTAAAAAACAACAGAAACACCCAAACACCCTTATAAAGAAACTGCCTTCTGCCTCCAGAGCCGTGAGGGAAAGCTGTCCCAAGGAGGGCTGGAGGGGAAGCCTTGCTGCACTTGAAAGGAGAGAAGGTCAAGTAACCCCTTCTCTGAGGAGGGGCTGGTACAGATCAAAGACACTGCTTTCATTGCCAACACTCGACCTCCCCTTCTTCCCCTTCTGTGATCAAGGATGCTGTGGTTTTTGATGATATTCACATGATAAGGGAGAGCCTGGTAGTTTCACAGAAAATCGGAAGTGTTTGTAGAAACAGGTTCTCTTCTATGAAAACACTACTGGGCAGGGTGCTAAAACTCTGAGTCCTGAATTTAAAGACCAACATAAATCTATGGAATATCACTCCTAAAGAGGACAGTGTAATAATATAAAGAGGTTACAAATTATACGCAGAAAACGGAACCATATAAACAGACCAAAGACATCAATCTTGATGCTGCAGAGCCTGTCACTCCCTGTATGAGACAAATGGGAGAACTTGAGCAAGAATACAGAGGCAAGCCGAAGGACCACGTTGCTTTAGTGTGATCCCTTAAACATGCCAGGTCTTAGACTTCAGTTTTTAAAAATTATTTTTCAACTCAAAATTCATCCCCCACCAAGAAAGTTTGCATCTTACCACTTGACCGAATGTTGATGAACGGGTAGTTGGGCATCACCAGCTTGCTGAAGTTAAATTTATAAGTAAACCTTTTTCCTTTTGTTTTATGAAGGATCCTCTTGTTGTAATAGTATCTGTAAAAGCAGGAATGCATGTCGATTTACCTTCCAGCTACTGAAAAGTTTTGATACACTTAGGTAGCCATGAAGTCCAACAATTCTTGCTCTGAGTATTATGTGTAAACTCTACTACCATTCTTTCGCTGCCATACCCTCAGATTAGGGATGAGAAGCCTAAGAGCTTATTTTCAAGTAGTTCTAGTTGAAATTCAATTTTCAACTAGTTCCAGTCCTTAGCTAGAGCTTTACCAAGACAATCTCACTTCAAGATCCTGAATGCCTATCTTAGCCCAACCACCTTTCTTCTCCATCTCTCTACAGTTTCAATTCTACAGTCCATTTCCTTCCTGTTCCACTATATGTCATCGTCTAGTTTCTCTTTTCTGCCTTGCCCAGGTTGGGGCAGACAAGTCTCTTGGGAGATCTGATGTGGTTAGTCTGGAGGCCTAAGCTCTAGGCATTGACAAAGGAATGTACAATTGTTTAAGGATGGCAGGTCAAACAATGGTATACCCTGATCTGAAAAAACAGCAGCCAGCTTGGCCTGCTTTGCTTTCAAAAGGATGTGAGAGACCAGCAAAGCTGTTGCACAGATTTACTTTCAGGGTCACTAAGAATGAAGAAAAGCAAGGGAACTTCAGCGTACCTGGGACCTTTAGACCCTTCACATCTGTTCAGTAGTAGGTTACAAACTGCCTTCTGGCCCTGAGGGCTGAAGGATTATGAAATGTAAAGACTGACAAGGGGAAAAGAGAACCTGAGAAAACTTACACTGATCAATCTTTAGATATGTTGAAGCAACCTATGGACTGACAACTGAGCTCAGAGATGCAGCTCCTGAAAGGCTAGGACAGTACCATTCAGGGGGCCCTCTGCCTGTGTGCCTGCTTCCCTTTATCTAGTTTCCAGGAGTGGCTAGAGAAGAGAAATGATAATAGATTTCCAACGGGGAGGTTTAAACTAATCTTTCGCATTTTTAAATGGGCTCCGATCCATGTTTCACCATATACTCTCGCCCACTACAGAGCAGAATCGGCTGTCAGGACCCAGTGCCAACCAAGCTGGAATTCCCTCCTACATATAACCAAAGATATGCCTTTCCTCCTCCCATGCCTGTACTACTCAGATTCAACAGCTCTTCTACTCCCACTTTAAAGCTACACATTATTCACTCAGATAGTGTAGTCTCTTATCACCTGATACCCTTTTTATCTAACATGCACCAAACTGCTTAGTCTCTTTCTAATCTGTTAACACCATGGATTTGGGAATCCTTTCCCTCACCTGAGGGCCCGGCTGAGCTTGTCATAATTCATCTGTGGTTTGCACTTCCTGCGGCCCCAGAGGCGGGCCACCTCATCTGGATCCTTGATGACAAATTCCCCGTACTCTCCCTGCTGCCAGGCGATGACATGGCGGAACTCCTCCTTCTGCAGCAGCTCCAGGATGAAGTGCCACAGCTGGATCTGCCGGGAGCCGGGGGACGACTCTGTTTTATAAGCCCAATCAGGAAACTGATACCCTTCAATGTGAAAAGGGCAAGATCAAGGCAGTTAGGAGCTAAATAGTACACACCATTATCCCTGACTTCACATTCCAATGCTCAGAATCTCTAGAGTGCTGTGCAAACATGCCATAAACACCCTTTCAGTCAGCTGGGGCTGACCACAACAGGGGAGAGGAAAGCACAGAGGTTACTTTTCTTGCGGCAATCATTAAATATGATAGAGTTGAGGACCAGCACCCTGGTGTCCTAATCTCTTACCCTTTCATACATTACTGAATCTCGCGTCTGTTTTCTATGAAGGCATGGGAGTTCCAAAGGGAACAAACTGAAAAGAAATTCTGATGTTTTAGGAAAGTGCAGCTGAAAATCTCTCACCTCTAAAGTTGCATTGTGTTTCTAACAGTAAAGAGACTAATGCTTGGGACAAAGGCGTGGTGACTAGACACATTAAATATACACCCACCAGAAAGAAACTGTCCTACCAGTATCCACCCAGACAAGAGGCTGTCAGTCATGGCCTGGCGTTTGTGAATAGAGCCCAGATGGAGAGAAAAGGAACAACTGGGGGACATACTAGGTAATCAGAGATGATTAATTTCTGCTCACCTCCACCTCCTTCTGGCTTTTCCACGATGCTACAGCCTGCTTTCATTTTCACCCTCCTGCTGAGAGATATAAGCCACACCAATTACTTTAAGGTGCTATTTACTTATTATTCTCCCAAAGTTTTCTGGAACAGCCTTTCCCAAACTTCCTTTTCCCTGTTTTTCCCTCCTTATGTAACCTTCTTTCTTTCAAACATGTCGCCTCCTCCAAACTGCTAATCCTCAAGTCATCAAATGATGGTTCTCAGGTCATCAGTTCAAAGGCCATAATTATCTCTCACCTGACTTTAGAACACAAAGTGTAAACAGTGTCTTTAATATTTACTTTCTTCCTTCTGACCAGCCCTTCAAATGTAAAAAAAGGAAAGGTACAGTGAAACGGGTCCAAAAAGGCAGCCAAAACAAGCCAAACAGTTTGTCTTCTATTACTAGACAGGCCCAGATGCCAAGATACACACGCCTGAATTCACCCAGATGTACCAGTTTGAAGAAGAGTGGAAAGAGTTCCAAATCCATCTGATTGCCACTGAAGAAAGAACATCTGATATTGATTTGTTTTCCTGAATTACGTGAGATGGGAGAAAGAAAACTCCTCCCAGTCAGAAACAGCCCCCTCCTTGAAAAATACTACGGGACTCAGGAAGCACAGACACCATATGTACAATTACTCTGTACAAGAAACACACATTCCCGAAGTATTTCTGAGAAATCTCTTTTTTCTTACATTTTCTCTCTTTTAACAAGAAGGAATTAAAGCAGGCATTTCAGAGAACCTTCTATTCATTAAGTGGAGGGAGTCTTGCTGCATTCTGAATCCATTCCGTTCGGATTCACATATCCTCATCCTGTTCCGAGCAGCAAGCAGCTTTGTGTCAGTCAACCCTTTAGCAAAAAAGGAGGGAAGGGTGAAACTGCCGGAGGGAGAGGCAGGCAGGAGGGCAGATCTGCCCTCACTGATCCCCAGGGTGGATGATGACAGGTCCTCAGAACCCACATTAGGAAGAGTCTGGACGGAATGTAAGTGCCTCAGTGGCCTCAGGGTGGGGTGGGGACAAATTCCTCATCTTGGAAATTTCATCTAAGCTAGGATTCCTTCAGATCCTTTAAATTTTTTTCTCACCATACACATTAACAAGATCAGCAAGTCTATAAAACTACCAGGTAAGGAGGATGAGATAAATTACCCAAAGGAAGGAGAAAACAGCCACACAGCCACATACACAACAAACACAATAACAAGGCCTCAGAGGTGAGGCAGGAGTTTCCTCTCCCGGCTGCTCCCATCTCCGTGACAATAAGGGAGGAAAAACACTAATTTCCCCACCGCTCCAGGAAGCTAGCTGCCTTAGACTGCAACTCCTAGGCTGCTCCGTAGGATCTCAGGGCCTTTACCCAGGAATGCCCTTCAACTACCACGACTCTGGGGTCCGAACCCCGCTGCAACAGTGACTTGCTCAGGAAGCTCTCTCCTGACACCCCAGCTCCCCAATTTCCCTCCATAAAGGCTCTCCTCCCAGAGGCCCGGAGGTGCCTCTCTAAGCCTTTCACAGATTCACTCCGAGGACACTGTGTCCAAGCAGGGCCACTCATCTCAACTCTGTAAACCCCACGGGGCCCCTCTCTGCTCTGCGGATCGCGACCCTTCCCTGAAGAACAAGGCATGCCGCGTCTGGCGCGGCGGAGCCCGGCTGCAGCTCCCGGTCGCGGTCCCGGCTCTCGCAGCCCCGGGAGCCTCTTTTACACCTGCCTCCCGGCCGGAGCTCGCTCGCCCCGTGGCCTCGCGGCGCCACGGAACCACCGCACGAACGCTGCCCTAGGTTCCCGTCGCCCCTCATACACGGGGCCCCCTCCCTCCCCCGCCCTCAGCGCTGGGTGAGGCCCGGCTGGGTGGTCACGTGGCCCGCTGAGCGACCCCGACCCAGGGACGCCGTTCCGCCGAGGTTCTGGGGGCTGGCCCGGAGGGGCCCGGCGGCGAGGCCGGGACTCACCGCTCCCCGGCACGGCCAGTCCTCGGTCCGGTCTCCTCCGCGGCGTCTCGGGCTCCTCCTCATCCACCCCAGCAGGAAGTGACCTCCTCGGCTGCCTTCGTCACTTCCATCCTCAGCGGGGAGGGCGGGGAAGGAGGCGGTGCCCGGCCGCAGGCCCCCCAGCCCCGCCGCGCCGCACCCAGCCGCGTCCGCCTTCCCTTTCTCCTTTCCGCAGACGCCGACTTCCGCCCGCACTCCACCCACAGTGCGCGCTCCTCCCGCCGCGCCTCCGCCCCGGCGCGGCGCGTGCGTCACGCTGCGGGGACACGTAACGCACGGTCGGGGTGGCGGCCGGTAGGGTGCTGCCGGGGGTCGGCCGGGGTGACGCCAGAGGCGGGGGTGCTAGGCCGCCGCGCGCGTCGTCACAGCCCGCGGTGCGGGCGACGCGCTGCCCTGGAACCCTGCCTGTTGGGAGGGGATCCCACCGAAAGGGGCCGGGGCCAAGCCAGCCCCCAGACCGCGGAGAAGGGCCCTGCGACCTTCCGGAGAGCAGAGCCCGCACAGTGGGAGAGAGGAACCCCCAGACTTCAGAGGAGTTCTCTCCGCTCTAAGAAACGGCCCTTTCATACACTAGTAAAGAAGCCGCGAAGCTTCCTCTGAAGCTCTTTGCTTAGGTATTTACCCCTTCCACCCCCACTTCCCCCTAAGGGGAGTATTCCGTTTCCCAGCTTGTGCCCATCATTCTGCATTTAGTCTTAAGCCTGTCCAGATCTAAGCTTGCAAGTCCTCTTCCTAAATCATTTAAATCTCTCTTTTCTTTTTCTTCTATCTTTGGTCCCTTCTCAAGCAATTACAAGTATCTTGTCCAAAGTATTTTTCTTTTTCCTTTAAGGTTTGGAAATGGTATAGAATCTCAAGCAGTTCAATTTAACCTCTATCCCTAGCCGCATATGGCTCAGTGGTGTCCAGGCCTAATTTCACTCCAGAGGCAGAAAAAAGGGAAGAGTGACGATCAGTACAGATTAAGTTAGAATAATAAACAATAAGGGTGTGGCAGAAAGGAAGTTAGAGAACTGAAGGAGAAGTGAAGAACAATTTGGGATAAAGGAGTAAACATCCTTTGTACCGTTGTTCTGATAACACCTTTACGTGTCTTAAATGCTTCAAAGACCATGGAAACATAACTCATTAGTTGTCAGAAAAGTTGGGCTTCCAGATTTGGATTTGCTACTAGCTATTTAGCTGTTGATAAATTAACTAGTCAGTTAGTCCCCTCTGGGCCCAAAGTTATCTTTACTGTTTGAAAAGAAAGGATAACAGCACTTGTGATAAAAGGTAGATTAGAAAAATCCTACTATGTAGATAAATGAGCAAACGTTTAGTGTCATAAAAGGGACTAATCTGCAAGTATAGCGTGAGCTCTTTGTAGGAACTGTCCATATATCCTTTGTATCTTTGGCATAGTACCAAGAACAATGTCTTATATATAAACGTCAGATGTTTGCTTGAACATTCTTTTTAAAACATTGGGGTTTAGTTAGGAGATGTAAATTATAGTCAGGTCCCAGTGCCTTAAGTTACTGGCTGTGTGACCTTGGGTAAGTTACTTAAGTCTCTTGTCAGTTCTTCATCTGTATGAACATAATACCTATAGTATCTACTCATGTGGTTGTATTAAATGTGTTAATATACGTAGAGTGGTTAGAACAGAATGGCACAATGTAAATGTGGCAAATGAACAAATGTTGGCAAAAATAATCATAAGAATCATTATGATAAAAATCCTTAAACTCTCACCCACCCATGCAAATCTTAGTAATTGTGTTAACTCAGAAACCAACTCGTGATCAGGAATGAGCAGCTTCTTCCAAGTCTGGTATTGCTGGCCTTTGGCTCATGGCTCAAGTTGTAAAAATCAGGCCCAGTACTTCACCTCCAAGGACCCTGTGTTCTACAAAGGGCCAGCGACCAGAGTATAGGGATTCTTTCTGTATTTTCTTATTCACCCCAGTCTCCTAGTGGTTGTCTACTGCTGCTTCTCTTGACTAATTAGGGTCACAAAGGATGACTTGAGTAAACACAATTAACAGAGAAAACAGGTCTCTTCCTGGCCTGAGTCTAAACAGATACATGGAGAAATGCCTATGCCCAGAAGAGCTCAACAGAATTTTTACATTAAGAGTCTGATCACCGGCCTGAAACTCAACAGGTGAATTTGGGTTTGATAAAGCAGACCGGGAACTCGCTAACAATTACTGGATGAATGAGTTTCGCACTGGGTGCCTCTCCTGTGGTGGTAGAATCTGGGGAGATTGGCATGGCTAGGGACTTCTTGCCCAGCATACCCAAGGTCCCTGTCCACTGTCTCCTTCACCATATGCTGCTGCCTTTTATCTGCTGCAGGCCGGCTTTCACATTATGGAGATTCTTCTTGTTCTGAAATACGGAGAGTATGAGCTTTCTGAAAGCACGGGGGTGGGAACACTTGGGAACAGTCTAGGTGTCAAGACAGGTTGTAATTGCTCCTGAATTTCCATCTTGCTCAAAGCCTTCTTTGTCCATACTGATGCTTGTCTTTGTCCCTCTTCCCACTCATCTTTATAATTGTTCCATATGCCTAGGATAAGTTTCTGTTCTAAATCTTATCCTTTCAACTCCGCTCTTGTCACAACACAGCTACTCCATTATTTCTTAACTTAAAAAAAGATAAAAGAAAAAACTATGCTGAAGTTTATTTTTCTTCCCTCCAAACCCTTTCTGAATTGGTGTGTGTGTGTTTCTTCCTTTCCTGGCTCACTCTTCTTTATTGCTCCCATTTTCATCTCTACACTTACATTCTCCACATCCCCCACTTCCCTGGCCAGGTATAGGATATAAACGCTTTCCTCTCTGCTCTTGTAGTAGATCTACTACAGAAGATAACCTCTGGATATCATTTGTTCCTAGCGTGTTTGTCTTATATTGCAGGCCCTCAGAGGTTAGAGGTGTAGTAGATCCCCACAGTGCCCAGAGCGGTTCTGTGTCATCATTTCAAATGCCTAATGATGATAATTTCCTTTTCCGCTAACACGCAAGCTCTGTGCTGCTGCCGAAACTGGCTGCTTCCTACCTCCCTCTGTCTCCTCTTAGTCTCCCAGTGAAATTCGGGTAGCCTCTTTTGTCCAGTGTGTTCCCACGGAAGTTGGGAGTCAGAAGAACTCAAGTTCAGCCTCAGTTCTGCCCTTTGCTAACTGAGTTCTCTGACAGGCTGCTAAATGTCTCTGAGTTCTGGCTTAGCTGTGAAAGGGGGGCTCTGTTGATGCCCTTGATAAGGACAGAGTGTAATAACGTCTGTGGAGAGCTTGTAAGCTCTGACATCCTTTACAAAGGTCAAGAATCATGATTCCTGTTGCTACTACCCTGGACCCTACACTGTTCTCTTGGTATCAAGAACTCAAATTTTATACCAGTTATCACCTATTTCTCAAACTTTTGAGTGGATGTACTGTTTCAAACTTGGGTAGGAGTCTAATGGAAAAACAATTTTGTCTTGAGGATTCGGGTTCTTGAGATTCTCATCTCAGCGCTATTTTCTGAGGCCTACTCTGACGCAATATATTTCAATTACTCTGTGCCTCAGTTTCCCCAACCCTAAAATGGCTATGATAAGAACTTTCAGAAAGAAAAATGTTTAACATTAAAACACTATTCATATTGATGAAGTCAAAGACTGAAGGGTGTATCCCCAATTGACTTATTTCCACTCTTTGGGACTCAATTTCCCCTTGAGCAAAGTGAAGATAAATTATAGATTGTAAGATATATTATTATATGTAATATATGTGTGTGTGTATAAGATAATAAGATAAATTTGGTAAGTATTATTTGCATTTTGCCACACTGACTCAAGCAGCTCGTAAGATTTTGTGTTTTGGTTTATTTTTCCCATCAACCCAAGTTGTTGTGAGGATAGAGGAGTTTATGTCAGTAATATGAGAGGGGATCCCCAGATTAAAGGTTAAATGAGTCCAAAGCAGAAGTAACTTTGCCCAAAGTCACGGCTCAGCCAGAAGGAGCAAAGAGCCTGGCTGTTTATTTAGTAGTGACTTGGGGATGCAAGGACTCTCCCTGATTCCACGTCCATCACAGTCCACAAATACCCTTTCCTCTCATTTCCCTTTTTTAGGTCTTGGTTCCCCCATCTCAAATCAGCACAGCCGAGAGGGTAGTGAGAGATCACAAAGGAACAGAATGGGAGAGCAGGATTAACATGAGGAAATGGCCATTTAAGCTATTTTGGCTTTTTTTTTCTTTCCTGGTAGACTAAGAGAAAGGTTCCCCTAATCAAATGTTAGATTGCCAGAATTTGTGTATTTCTGAAGGCTCTTTTCCAGGAATCCTGCTGTAATTATTTGGAGCAGAAGGCTAGCTTCTCCTGGTCTTAACCTATTTAGGATGTGTTTTCCAAGGCCCTTGTGTATTTGTTTCCCACTCTTGCAAGACCTGAAACGTTGACCTGTTTATTTACCACATAAACCTTTTTGCTGTCTTTTGTATTTATTCACTGTTCATATCCGGCTCTCACTGTATTTTCCTTGTGACTGTCCACATCATTTGTCATCCTGGGAGGGCAGAGATTGTGTCTAATTCTCATTATATAATGGCCAATAAAAATGATTATCACTGTAATAGAGACTTGGGGATCAGAGTCTAACAAATACCAGTAATGGTGGTAGTGAACAATGGCACGAAGCCTCAAACCAAAGTAATTAAGAGGCAATCACCTTAAGAATATTTTAGAAAAGATTTTCTTTAATAATTGCACATGTATTTTTGGATGTGCAGAATCTTAGAGATGGAATGAATGTGGGAAGTCATAATCCCATCCTCTCACTAAGTGCTGCCAGCCTCCCCTTGAATCCTCACAATGATGTGGAGTTTACTATGACCAACACCTAGTCAACCTAGTTTTTTCATTCTCAAATACATCATACCTACAGAAAAGTACTTGAAAAAATACATGTATTGGTTGAAGAACAACAATAAAGTACTTAAGTACCTACCACCCAGGCAAAGAATAGAAGTTACTGAAAAAGAAAATCATCTTCTTTGCCCCTCCACACTTCATCCAAGTTCAATGTTTAGGTCACCTAGTAGGAAGCTCTTCCTTATATGGAGCTGAAACGTGTTCCACTGACATGACCACCCATGACCTCTGGGCACCTGAGTTAGTAG